TAGTAGCACTTTAAGGACACAAAGCGTTGACAATAATAATATGATTTCATTCGATGATGTTGATGAAGTTATTCTGAAAGTAAACAATTTATAAGTTTTAATTCTTATTTCATTTGCCTTTTCTTGTTAATAATTTAAAAGTGTTGATAAAATTATTGTGAAAGTAAAATAATTATGAAYTTTTATTTTGAATTCAACTTAGTAGATTTTTTATCATTCTGAAGAAGACTGTACAGCTGCAGCCTAAACGTTATCTTTCATAAAAAAATTCTAAAATTTTGTAGAAAAAAAAGCGTGGAAACCGTTGCTTTTTTACTAACTTTCTTGTCAGTATRTAAAGCATATTATAAAAACAATTTCCTTTGTTTTGACATTTTCGATGTTTWTAAGGATTTGATTTTTAATGCAACTTTTAGAAAGTGCTTTTTAGAATTCTCAATTAACTAAAATAAACTTTGTTATGAAGTTTATATTATGTTGAAAATCATTTCCACTGATATCCAAATCAACATCTGTGGTAATCTATATAAAAATCACAAGACTATATGGAGGAATGAGTTTATTGAAGTACCAAGAGTAATCCAAAACGTCATTCCTCAAAATATAATATTAACTTGATAAATTAACTTATTTCCTTTTAAATGTTGATATCAAAATTTATTTTTTTCCCGTCCGGTATTCTAAAATATCGTGCATTCTGATTGGCTGTTTGAGCGGGCGGTATTTTGTCAGTATCTGCCCGCGCTTGTGGTCCGGTATCCTTTGCCGCTAAATGACAAAACAAAACGATTACAAAAACAAGTAAAAAAAATACGGGAAAAAAATAAAGAAGCTATTTACCGTCCTATAGTCGTACGAAGAAAACATAATTAATTAACTCCTATTAATCAATAATAACAAATTTGTGAAAATATAAAAAKGAAAAAAAAAGTTCAGATATACTTCAGGTACTTTTCATTGGAGATAATTTAAACTAGTAAGAAAAACCAGCATTTGAATATRATAAGAGAACAAAATAAAACGATTTAAAAAGTACGTATAATTCAACGACTTTTGTATAAAATGGAATTTACTTTGTAAATATACTTTTTATTAGAAAAACAAAGCGAGTACTTTTTACTAATAGTGAGACCGTAGATTTTGGAAAACATAAAAAAAAAACCAAGAAAAAACAAAACAAAAGAAATAAGTAAAAATACAAAAAGAATTCAAAAGAATGATCAAAACAAAAAATATAAGCAGTTTAAATAATTATGCTAAATTTGAGGCCAATCCACATTAAAAGATGTTACTGAGCGATTTTTTTGGAACGGATTGAGTCGCGAAAAAAAAACATTAAAAAAAAAAAAAGCCAAGAAAATAACTAAAACACAAAACAAAAGAAATAAGTAAAAATACAAAAAGAATTCAAAAGAATGATCAAAACAAAAAATATAAGCAGTTTAAATAATTATGCTAAATTTGATAAGTGGAAAACCTTCCTGCACATGTTCTAGATAGAAAGTTCTCATGAGTTCTCAAGTTTGGAATATTTTGTGCATTTTTTGTAGGCATTGAATACGTCTATTTGAATACTCTAAGTTTAGAGAACCTATCATTAAACTTTTAAGTATTAAATAAAAACAATATACTGAAATTATGCCAAAAATACGTAAAAACAAATTCGAAAGAGCCAAAGTTTTCTTTTTTCGTGAGAATTAACTAGAATGATGGAGGACACAAAGTTTCACTTATTCAGCCATTTTTTGTTGAAATCCGCTCGAGCTGTAAAGCCCCGTTTACACTAGCGATTTTTGCAGTGATTTTTGCAGCGATTTTTGCAGCGATTTTTGCAGCGATTTTGTCCATAATAAATAATGGTAAAGAATTTACTTGTAAAGTTTTTTCAGAATACCAAGATTTTCCCTAGACGAATGTCTCTTTTGAAGGATGAGACAAAAGTTTTCATATTTCCGAAAATTGCCAAAAAAATCGCAGGGTGAAAAATCGCCGCAAAAATCGCCAGTGTAAACGGGGCTTAAGATGTTTTAGTCATTTTAAACCAAACACATGACGACTTACCTGCAATTACTAGGAGCAACAACAAYAACCTCTTTGCAATGGGAATCATTTTCTGCTTCAGCAAATAACTTTTTTCGATTGATCAGTTTGAATACTGGTTTCCAGNCAAGGTCCAATTCAAGTTGCTTCGCAAACTGATAGTGAAGATGGGTTACGACGGTCTATCCGAGTTTCAATCAGTTAACGGTTTTGTTGACGCACGCAAACATGATCTCATTAAAAAGTAGTTATATGCTTCGGTGAACGAAGTAGTGGTTTGATAACTACCAATTAAAATCATTGCCACTTACCGTGATGCACCGCGGTCACAGATGAATTTCGTGGTCCATGAAATTCAAAGATTCATATATTGAATAATAACTTCATATTAAATCCTTTTCCGACAAAGCACTAAGGCACAATAATGATTCTTTTACATTATTTTAAGAGTTTATTCAAAAGGCTAGTAATTGTTTTTTCAGTGGTGACACGATTAAAAATGTAAACAAACTGTGATGCATCACGGTAACTGACAATGGGTCTTTAATCAAATTACAGTTATATTGGCTGAACATGTTTTGAAATGTTAGTAACCCCAAGGATCCGGCGCTCTAGTTTGGCGTCTTGTGGTACTGTACGATTAACCACATTTATTTGTGTCGAGATATGTCTAGACTTGTTGATAGTAATTTCGAGGTGGTATAGGAAAGGTAGTCTCCCTCGCATCCGTTTTTAGTGCCGGTCGTCACGCAACGCTTGCTCCTCCCTTTGTGGGGAGTGAGCGTTGCGTGACAACCGACACTAAAAACGGATGCGTGGGAGACTATAGGAAAGGAGGCCGCGAGTTACTTTGGTCCTGAGGTCTTAAATAACATCTCGTAAAAAGCTAAGCCTCCGATTGGTCAGAACTTACGAGTAAACTGATATAATTGAATTACTGAACAGATATATGTCTCGACATAAATRCCATTATGCTTTTGACATAATGCTTTTTAATTCTTAAATATTGTTTTTTAATGAGTTCCAATCATTAATATTTTACAACGAAAATCTTTTCCTTAGCTTTCAATGCATATTATGATTCTGATTGTTTTCATTTGACGTCAGTTCAGAAGTCCATTCGACGCCTCAGCTTCTGCCGATCCACCGGATTACGGAGGATAATAGCGACGTCAACCGGAAATGTAAATAACTTCACTTTAGGGTTTCGCGCCTTCAAGGTCTGTCTTCCCTGTGGATGAGTTGACTTTACTGGAAATGTTTTGAATGAAATCTCTTTTTCCTTTCCTTTAAATGCATAACTTCGATGTTTTCTCGATCTTGCAGCCAATAAACGCTTTAGATGGCCCGCCGTTGTCTTGGACATACTCAACCACAGGGTGACCAATACCAAGTTTATCTAAAAATAGACTTATCTTCCAGATCAGTAGCCATCCACCTGCCTAGTTGTTCGTCGTTCATCTATCCTTTTGTTTAAATTCTTTACCTCTCTATCTGCCTGGGTGTCTTCCAGTTCGTCTGTCGTTTCTCCCTCGGTTTGACTTCGTCTTTCTGTTTTTCTTCCCGTCTGTCTGCCCGTCTGACTACCGTGCATCTGTCTGCTTGAATGATCTGTTTGCCTTAGCTTCCTGCCTTAGCTATGCCTGTCTGTCCGTCTGTCTCGTTTCACAATATGACAAAATACCTGCTAAAACAGTRAATATTAAATGAAAACTCCAAACATTCTAATCACCCATTTACCGTTCAATTTCGTGTCTCTAAGACACAAGAACCGAATAAGAGATTTTTCCTGACGAATTTTCTTAATACCGAGACATCCTGCTAGGCGTGACGTCACGTCTCGCTCCCGTCATGCTGCGCCTTTTTTATTTTCTAACCAATCCAGATGACACTTC